AGTTACAATATATTATGGTCAAACAAAAATGTTTAAAGTTTGAGCAAAAATTTAATAAAATACTAAAATTATTAATATTTTTATAAAATAAAACTCTATAAAAATAACTATATATTACAATAGTTTGCGATATGATTGATAAGAACAACTTAATTATTATAAATAATTTATCCACAATTTAAAATAATTTACTCTTAGTAAAAATATAATAAAGAAGCATAATTAAATTTTTAAAAATAAAAACAAATATTACTCACTTTAGAATTCTTTGCAACTTCAAAATCTCTTGGCATGGCGGCAAGCCATTTCTTACGTATTGGGAAATCCAAAATTTCATACTTTTGTACCATCAACTTTGTAAAATCCTCTGCAGTTTGGTACACAGCACTCATATGCAATTATTCATAACACTAAGAATTAAATTAATGCTGACATTTATAACATTTGTAGAATAAATATAAATTTTACGAAGAACGTTGACACCAGAACACCGACGGTTGTTTACAAATTCAAATCAAAAATATTCGCCAATTGGCTGAATGCCGACACAGGTTATAATACTTCAGAATATCGCCAATGGCTCGTTTGATCAGATTCGGAGTTTTTCGTAAAAATAGCTACCCTGACTGGTTTCCCTCTGGGCCTAACTCTACTACGGCATCATCGCCTATAGTAACCCGTTGTGAGGCTTGATTCCTTTCTAGGAGGTATTGGGTGAACCTGGTCAGCAACTATGTTCAAGTAGCTTACAGACGTCAGGGATTGTTTTATGAGGATTATGGGTCCTAATGTGCCCCTTGAAAACATTGTTCCTGGGTGAGAAACCATGAAAACCTGAGCGAGCCCATTGTTATAGATGGAGGATGGTCAAAATGTAATGGCTCTTCGGTGTACATACATTTAAGGCAAATATCTAAAGTTTTCAGTGAATTTCCAAAGATAGTAAACAAATATTTGATTTTTCTTTTTTTGTGTAATGTAATCCGTCACTTTTTTCAAAAGGTAACGTTTTTAAGATAACGTTTAATCTCTTGGTTTTTTTTCCTCATGAAATACGCTCTCTCGAACAATTTGAAATTGTGGTTTATCATTTTCATTCAATTTTAACATTCAAAAATAAAATTTTAACTTATAACTAAAGTAAGTAATAAATAAATTGGGCAGTCATAGTATTAAGACATGTTCGAGCATTTCAAATACACTAAATACTTAGTGATTTTGAAAATCATATCTTGTTCTGTAAAGTTCTCATATATTACTGTTTTTAACCCTTCAAGCTGTGAGTCCCTGGGAAAAATTATAAAGAACTAATTTTCGTGCTATTTGCCTACTCAATAACATGGAAAAATCGGTTTCTATGATGCAGTAAAGATTGCATCTGGGAGTTCGGACTAATACTCAGAGGGTTACTAAAAATATATACCGAAGAGCCATTACATTATGACCACCCTAATAACATTTTGGACCACCTTTAGCCCTCAAAACTGCTAGCACCCGCCGTGGCATTGATTCCACAAGGTGCTGATAGATAGTCTGAGGTATCTGGTACCAAGCTCTCACCAACTGGTTCTGCAATTCCCTCACATTGCGAGGGGGTAGCGTGGCAGCCCGAATTTGGTTTTCCAAGTAGGACCACACATGCTCTATTGGATTAAGGTCAGGTGAATTTGGGGGCCAAGATATGACTTGAAAGTCACTGGAATGTTCCTCGAACCAATCCATGACGATTCGATCCTTATGACATCCTATTGGTAAACACCATCCCCCGCAGGAAAAACTGTTGCCTTGAATGGGTGAACCTGGTCTGCAACTATGTTCAAGTAGCTTACAGACGTCAGGGATTGTTCCATGAGGATTATGGGTCCTAATGCGCCCCATGAAAACATTGTTCCTGGGCGAGAAACTATGAAAACCAGGAAAAGATGTTTAATACATCCTTCCAAATATTTTTATACATTCTAAAATTCAGCTGCTTTGCAAAACTGTTTATAGAACCCGGTACCTACACATTGCGAACATAACAACATTGATTATTATATTAATTTAATTGACAGATTAATTACGCGTCAATCATTGCATGCACTTGGTTTCAAAGTTGATTTAGAGTTCATTTCGTAGTTGTGGATGTTCCTTTATCTAAACTAACTCAAAGCATATACCGTCCCTCAGTGGACTGATCGTTAAGACACGGTTCCCAGCAGATTACCGAAGTCAAGCATCACTGGCTGCGGTCAGTGTGCGGGTGGGTGACCACTTGGAACAGTCTGCGTAGGGACCGAGGGCGTGCGGTATTGGTCCTCGTTAAACTGTTCTACCGTAAAGTGCTCGACTTCACGTGCAGGTCGTCGGGCTACCGAAGCGGGGGTGCCATCCCCTCTACAGAGGATCAAAATTGTGATGGCATGTCTTCGGATCATCCTCAGCGATTTTTCCCAGACCGTCGCCAATAGCCCATTGTACAGCTCTAGTGCGACGTAAATGGACAACTACTACTATTACAAAGCATATACGATGGTCTTAGCTCTGATGTTGCGCGCTATTATTGACATTATAAACAATATGGTAAAAATCAAATTATTCGGAATCCGAAAGTCAGCAATCATTTCAGATTTCTAATTATTCTGGCTCCCTAAAGAAAAGCTACTGCTTTTGTCTGAAGTATTTACCCTTTAAAATGAGAACATAGATGTCAGCACAGCACAGTAATCTTGTGATTAAACATGAGTAATTTGTTTTATTTTTAGTAGTTTAGTTCTCTAAGTGTTTGTGTATGTATGTATGTTTTTCTTCGGAGAAAAAAATGTGCAGTGATCAAACTGTCACTGCATACACTCTTCTCCGAAGATTTTCAATTTTTTTAAGTGTAAATGCTTTAATTTTTAAGATTTTAGCAAACATTTAACATTTGCAATATCTTACAGGTTTTACGTTCCTCTGGCAGCCATTTGTTGCTTTGTGATTCCATCAGCGATCCCTTATTATTGCTGGAACGAAGACTGGTACGCAAGCGTATTTGGAGCCGGATTCCTCCGATACGTCCTCTGCCTACATTTCACATGGTTTGTTAACAGTGCAGCACATTTATGGGGCAATAAACCATACGACAAATACATAAGCGCAACTGAATCCAAATGGGTTTCTGCTTTTGCAATTGGTGAAGGATTCCACAATTACCATCACACATTTCCTTGGGATTACGCCACAAGTGAGCTAGGATATAAATACAATTTCACTACATTTTTCATTGATTGTATGGCATACATTGGCCAGGCATACGACTTGAAGACCACTAATCCAGAGAGCATACATCAAAGAAAAATCAGAACAGGAGATGGCTCTTATTTTATAGACAAAGACCACAAAGAGTAAAAAAAAAAGTCCAAAGTGATGATGATAAAACTACGATTTTATTAGACAACTACGCCAAGTACTGTATATTACAGATAGGTTCCTGACTGCTAATTCTGAAGTAAATATCTATTGATTCGGAGCTTTGGTCAACATGACTATTTGAATGCAATAGAAACAAAATTATTTTTCTTTTGATGTAGCAGTCGATATTTATTCAGCGATGTGTCAACCTTGTTTTTATGTAGCGTTTGCGTGCAGTAAATTTATCGCGAATATTTTCAGTCAGATATATATTTTTTTCTTAAATAGATTGGTGATGAAATAGAAGCCAATCGCATTAGACTGCATTAAACATTCTTCAAGTGGTATTAAGTGTCCTAAAAACACGTTGCCACTCAGGAAAAAGTTATCTCGTTTTAATGTATTTAAAGCACTGAATATGCAACTTGTTTTCAGTCATGTTTGTTTCTCCTTATTTCTTAAAATAAATCAGTGATACAAATAAGAGTGTTTTTACTGTTATTTCAAAATTTACATTTAATTTGGGCAAAGTATTAACGTGTAGTCACAAGGATATTGACCTACTATAACAGTGTTTCTTAACCTTTTTGGCACAATGGACCCCTTTTAAAAAAATTTTAAGATGTCTCGGACCACCCCCCTGTGAAAAAAATAATTACAAAAAACATCAATCGTTAGAAAAGATTTAATTTTATTATTATAATAATATACAAAAAATTTTAAAACTAAAATTTTTAATGTGAAGGCTGTTGCTACTTTTCCTTAATTAATAAATTGAATTGAGGGATGGCTTTCGACAAAGCAACGCGCATATCATGTTCAACATTCAATCGATTTCGATGTTTTGTTTTATTGTTACGAGAGGGAAAAATCCCGCTTCGTTAAGACACACTGTAGCACGGAATTACAGCTGCCTTAGCTCTCTTTACAAGCAATGGGTAGTCTTCTCTCACAGAAGACCAGAACTCTTCGAGTGTTTTTGAATCGAAATCCATTTTTAGTAAGGACTTTGTTCTAAGATCAATAAGCTCATCTTTGACAAGGTTCATATTATCGATACAGTCACAAAGAAAAGAATTACAAATCCACAACTCATCTTTTATATTTATCTCATCCAAATTCAAGTATTTTTTAAATGAAACTTGAAGTACTTCCAGGTGTTCACAGATTTCATTTTTCAAGCTATTCAGTGACAAATTATCTTGCCGAGATTCATTTTTAGTAAGCTCATTCAGATTCATTTAGTCCAATATTTGAAAGTTTGCATAGTTCTCATTTTGAATTCTATTTTTTCGAAGTGGCACTTTCAATAAGAATGCTTGTAATCTCTCAGTTGCATCCATGATGGTGATATCTGGCCCTTGAATTAAAATACTTATATTGTTCATGTGGTTAAAAATATCTGCCAGGTAAGCCAATTTATATGTAAAATCTTTTTTTTTTAAATATTCGAAGAGCGGGTTATCTTTTTCTTCTAGAAAAAGTGATACTTCTGTTTCAACATGAAAATTCGTTTCAAAACCTGCCCTCGTGACAGCCAGCGCCCTTCCATGTGGTTCAGAAGTACCTCATCTTCTGCTTCCATTTCTTGACACAGTGTTTTAAAAAGACGATGATTAAGAACTCTACTTCTAAATAAATTCACAGTTTTAATAACTAGTGATAATACTTCTTTTAAGCAGGTTGGAAGAGTTTTTGTAGTCTGTGCATGTCTATGTAAAAAACAATGAGTAACAAGAACACTAGGAGACTCTTTTTGTACCAACAGGGCAAAACCAGATTTATTGCCAAGCATAGCAGGTGCTCCATCTGTACAAAGTAAATGAATTTTTTCTTTCCAGTCAATGTCGTGTTTGGTAAAGAAAACAATTAACATTGCTACAGCATCAACTGCCTTTGTAATTTGCAAAAGAGACTCACCAAATAAGAATTCCTCTTTGATAGTATCAATTCATCGATGATCTGTTTCAAGATATTGCAAGAAATTTCAACTATTCTTGAATGTATCACATCATTTGACAATGGAATAGCTTCAAGTTTTTTTCTTTGTTTCAGTCCACAAAATAATTCAACCATTTTCAGCGCACATGGCTTAATTAACGTCTCTCCAACAGTATGCGGTTTCTTGCTTTTGGCAATACGATTTGCAACTTTGAGAGATGCCTCAACCACAGGTTTTTGTGGAATACCAAATCTTAGTTCGATTAATGTTCCAGATTTCAAAAACTGGGCTTTCTTCTTAGTAAAAAATTCTAGATCTAGTAACCTGGACAAGGTGCCAAATGTACGAAGCTTGATTGGGGGTGATAAAAAAATAGCACAGCGGACGTCATCGGGGGATTGCCTCTGATGGTGCAAACTGAAAGCCGGTTAGTGGAGGATGTTAAAAATATGACAGGGATATTAGAGGGCTGTGTGCAATCAGCACTGAATTTGGGGTATCTCGATCACCTAGTTTCAAATATGTACCTATGTATTTTCACCTTTCAGAAAAAAAGATCAATGTTATTTAAATATTATTGATCCAAACGTTTTAAAAATTAGGAGTAGTTGACGGACCCCTAAAATATGACCCATGGACCCCTAAGGGGTCCATGAACCACAGGTTAAGAAACCCTGTACTATAAGGAGAAAACATCGGGAACCCGAAAGAAATTGATAAAAATCCATAATTTTCTAGCTTGTTAAGGGAAGAGTAAAACGGTTTTTCTGACAAAAAAACAATTCTGTATACATGTTATAGCGATTAATATGTTAAGGCGGTGTTTCCCAAAGTGTGGTACGCGTACCCTCAGGGGTACGGGAACAGTTTAACGGGGGTACGCTTTCTTATGCGAAAAATCTTGCAACAAACGAAAATTTCAAAAATTTTTATTTAAAAACGAAGCTAGCCATGAAAGATTACGTATTTTTCCATTGGCTATTTTTTGTAGAGATAACAGTTAATAATTAGTAGTGTCAATAGCCAATTGTGATTTTTAACTTTTGTGGAAATTTTTATAGTAAAAAATACATTCATTTTTTTATGAGTGGTACACAGTGTTACGAGAAATTTAGAAAAGGTACACAAAAGTTATAAGTTTGGGAAACACTGTGTTAAGGTAAATGGCACGATTTTGTTTACTTATCTGGAAAACAATAAGCAAGAAAAGAAATAGTGCAAGAATAGAAATTGCTTGCTTCTATTTTCCAGGCTAAGTTTCCTATCAGAGTATTTCTTGTAATGATAAGTCAATACACAATGCATATTACCAGAAATTTTCTCCATGGGATACCTGCAAGTGACGTAGCATGGGTATCTCGATCCTGATTGGTTGTTGAAACGTGGCATTTGTTTACGTTAGCAACTGTTCTTTTCCTTCCATTTCGAGTAAGCCAAGCCCGTCAAGTATCAATTCTCTTACGTGACACATTCTAAATTCTTTCACAAAGATTTCAATTATTTCACTAAATACTCTTATTTACAAAAAGACTTAACACAAAGGCAGGCATGAAACCATGTAGAACATAAACAAACTAAATATGCATCAAAGCTGTAAGGTACATTAAACAAAAATATATCACGGTTATTATAAAATACATAAACAAATAATGAATCTAAAGTAAACGAAGTAGACGAGAAAGAATTATATTTCAACAAACTTGATGTGAGATACGGCTCTGTGTTTAATTAACTTAACTTTAATTAACATTCTTAACTTATGTAGAGAAACTTAGCTCAACTTTAATACGCCATTTTGCTGATAAAGATTAGATGGCGCTGACAATACTTGATTAATTTAACTTTAATTAGCATTCAAACTTATGTAGAGAAACTTAGCTCAACTTTAATATGCCATTTTGCTGATAAAGATTAGATGGCGCTGACAATACTTGATTAATTTAACTTCAATTAACATTCAAACTTATGTAGAGAAACTTAGCTCAACTTTAATACGCCATTTTGCTGATAAAGATTAGATGGTGCTGATGTAATACGTCATAGGGTATTGTGGTCTTCTTGGAAGTGCAAGTACCCAATTAACAAGAATTCATTAAAAAAAATTTTACAATTCTAAATTTTTTTTAAAAATTGGTTTCAAAAAAATTTAATAAGTATAAAAACATAAAATTAAATTTGTATTTTCAATAATTAAAGTAAATGCTATTTATTCATTTTCAACTCACTATTTCGTAACTTTAATTTACTCTTCTTTTAAATACCCAGTTATACCACACCAAAGTATCAAAATTATTAAAGTTTTTTAACATTTTACATAAATTGAAAGTGTTATTAAATGAAAATGATTGGAATATTTTGAATTTTTTCTACAATTCTAAATTTTAAAAAAAAATTGGTTTCAAAAACAATTTCATAAGTATAAAAATTTAAAATTAAATTTGTATTTTCAATAATTAAAGTAAATGCTATTTATTCATTTTGAACTCACTATTTCGTAACTTTAATTTACTCTTCTTTTAAATACCCAGTTATACCACACCAAAGTATCAAAATTATTAAAGTTTTTCAACGTTTTACATAAGTTGAAAGTGTTATTAAAAGAAAATGATTGGAATATTTCGAATTTTTTTACAATTCTTAATTTAAAAAAAAAATTGGTTTCAAAATTATTTCAGAAAATTTCTTACAGTAACACAGAAAAATTCAGAATTCTTACAGAACTTTCTACAACAGAATGACAAAAAATAAAGTAAGGAACTAAATAATTTGTAAGACAATAGTTTACACAACCTCAATAATTTATCTTTACTTTAAAAAAAAAATTCCAGTTTCACAATAAAATTTTTAATTATTTCAAAATACTATAAGTAACGCTAAAAAATAATGACTTTAAATAATAAAGAACGTTAATACAAAAACCATCAATCATGAAATAATAAGAAAATGGGATGTTGAGAATTAATAGAAGTATGATAAATCTTTTGCAAAACACATCAGTCAAACTCTCATTTCAGCAAATACTGTCCGAGCTGCTATTTTTCAATCATATTTTTTATATTAATATTAAATATTAGGAAATCAACTTAAAAATTATTCAAAAAATTCCCATTAAAAGATTTTTTGTTTCACAGCCTATAAAATCATTAGACACAATTGTTTACTAAATTATTTACAGAAAATAAATAATTAGTACCTAATTACTCAATCTAAAAAAAAATCATAAAATATTTAGAAAAAAGGCCTAAAAACATCCAAAATAACAGGAAATTTCAAGAATAGAATTACTTTTATGTTTGTATTAATTAAAATGTTCACAGGATGCAAAAAAAAATTATAATATATACTAATTATTTAACTTAAAAAGTTCAGGCAAATTTCAGACTGTTTGCCTAAACAAATCTAAAATTGTGAAGATCTAAGATTAAAATTCCTCTTATGATTGTATTTACTACATTGTTCAAAGACGGCAAGTAAAATAATTAATAAACTATCAAATTATTTACATGACATTGCGAAAAATTGGTTATGCGTCAGAGTGGTAAATATAAAAAGCTACATAATAAATTAAACACTTCACATGTAATGTCAATGTCAAAATTTAAAAGAAATGAAAATTAAGAAATTATACATAACTAAAAAATTATTCTTAAGAAAGATTTTCAGAACAGGCGTTGTAGTTGGTTAACATAGGAATCAACTTTAACCAATATATCAGCAAATAATAGCTTGTAGTTTGGTAAATTCATTCTTTTTTTAAAAAACTTTCTGCCAGAGATATTTTTGAACTTTTCATTCCTTGCAATTTAGCTTATGCTTAAGCATTTAAATATTTTAAAATAATACTAATGCTAAAAGTACAGAAAAAAAAAAGATATTGCACTAAAGGTTTAACTTTAGATATGCTAATTAATTAGTGTTGGCTATGAATTAAGTAACGAAATCAGACACAATAGCATACTTTCATTGAATTCTCAACAGATTTAAATTTTTGACCATAAAATATGGGAGATGGGCACAATCTGGAAAATATGGTCCCAATCAACAAGTCAGAAGAGCATCAAAAGTTTGGACCCTTTAATACTAATTCAATTTTGTGAATATTTTACCATATATTGCGAACTATGTGAACAAATGGGATATTGTTACACACAATTATAAAACTTGATTTCAAAGATAATTCCAGACTATTATTTAATATTTTATTTCACAACGGACAAAAAAATTTTTTTATAGTAAAGTATGCAAATTTTTAAATCATTTTGAACTTTTAAATAACAAAATGCATTTTGAACAATTTCTAAGTTATAAAATTTCAAACATTCATTAAATTCGCTTATTAACTATTTGATCGATTTAATTTCACGTGTTGCTTTCCTGCTGAAAAAACTAACTTTCCGTTCGTTATCAAATCACAATGTTGTTATATGGAGGAGAATCTTATATGAACTTACCAAAACGAGAAATGATCAGTCAGTTATGAAACTATATAAATGAGATTAAAATCTTGAGTCAAACTAATAATCGATGACATTAAAAAACAAAACTTTTCAAGTATTTATTCAGAAAAAATTTAAAAATTTGTAAACTGAACATTATATTGCACAACAGATAAAACAAAACATTAATCACAACAAAAATTTGATCAACAATACAGAAAAATTAAATCGCTAGTTTATCACAGATTAACATGACACTTTGAAGAAATATACGTGTGAAAAAAGAGCAGTTTATATAACTGTATCTCAAACATTAACAGGATGAATATCAATAAGTAACTTTAGCTTTAAAAGTACGAATTTGCATCGGAGTCAAATCAAATTTCAGTAAACTTTTTCGAATTTTCTGAGATCCTGGAATGAAGCAAAAAAAAATTATAAAATGGCGCATTTCATCACAAAGTGAAAGTTAAGTAAAATAAACTAAATGTAATTAAGTAACACTACATTCAATTAAATCATATGAAATAATGGTTAGATCTATTGAAAATTGTTGATATCAATAAATGTGCAACAGAAAGTATTTTAAATAGGCAATTTATATAATATGCATGAAAGTAGGCAATTTATATAATATGCTTAACATACTTGTGATGCCATTGTAAGCATTACATATTTTCATAAATCTTAAAAATTTTTTTAATTTTATAAATGTAATTTTTAAATCATTCTCAATCCTGCTTAATTAAATTAAATCAATTATTCAATTTTTATCACATTTTATGAAAAAATAACGAAAATCAATACTTTTATTCTTTTCTTAATAATCAATGCAACAGCTAACTTTTTAATTCATGTAAAACTCAATAATTGAGTGTTGCCACAAATCGAAAGTCAAATTCTATTTTGAACTTCATTCCTTAAGCTACTTTATTTCTCTAACCACAAAAATTTTTCGGTTACATGTTTATATCGAATTCTAACAGTCTTTTTGGTGACTAAGTTGCATCCAGATTATTAAAAATTTTATATTAATAACACAGGGTTGGCTTTATTTTCAACTACATTATCTATCCATAATGATTAAATTTTGGAACTCATCCCATGCTCCTAAGCGTCCGTTAGCAACTATGCATTCATAAGTAACTTGAACTTTTTGGGTTTAGGACTGTGGGTTTTGGATGTCCGATGGCCCCTCAGTCCGACTGTTAAAAGTTCCACAAAATTTTTATAAAAATAAATGCCTAAAAAAATTTAATGCTAAAGTTTTCTCCAGCTATAAATGAAGAGCACTTTTTAATGCGGCATTACGGGGAACTCTTCCACTATTAAATAAAGAAATATGTTTGATTTTTGCTTATTATTAAATTATTATTCGCTCATTATAAGTTAAAGATATGGTAATTTTACAATTCCACTATAATAATTTTACAATTCCCCTTTTTATCATAGAGTTCATATAATATGTGAAACTACATTTAGCTAAAATAACTTATATTAAAAATATACTTTAACTTGCATATTCTTCTAACAGAAAAAGCAATATGAAATCTCCTTAGAACAATATAGCACAATATTGCACTAAACTCTTTAGAACAATGTAGGAAAACAATACAAAAATAATTTACCTTTTGGCAGGAAATCTTCACAGACGTTTTTCTTTCCTACTTCGTTCCAACACAATCTTTTAGCGTCAGATAAAAACTGATTAGCACTAAGAGTCGTTTCTTCAGTACTTACAACATCAAATCCATTAAAAAGATTCTAAAACATATTTTAAAAAAACACATAACAGTAAATAGCATTTATTTGTGATTATTCATCATTTTTATGATTCATTACATTTCTTATAGAAAAAATAGTACATAAATTCAAGTTAGTTGGTTAATCAAAACTTAAATTTATATTAAAATGTTCACATGCCTTTAAAGGAAAATAATAAATCAGTATTTATTTTACAGCATCTAAGAAATATCAATAAACTGTAGAATTTTGGACAGTTTGTTATTTTCTAGAATACTGCCCTTTTGACACTGGTAATGGAAAAGCAATAATCCAAACAATATATAGTGCTACCTAATATAAGCATAATTTATTTATTTGATGTAAAGTGATGTATCGTAATATTTGCATTAAAGAATTTTTCTAAAAATATGGTAATTACAAATAAATTTTAATTTTCATGCCTTTTAAGAAGTTGAAAGTAACAGTATCAAAAGCTAGTTGATTAAAACTGATGTACTGCGACTATAAATCGTGTAATCATTAAGAAAAATTATTTTTATACATATGTTAATTATAAACTAATTTTTACTTTACAATATACACTAACTTTTACTTTATCTTTACAGTAGTTGAAAATAACAGCATCAAAGGCAAGTTGAGTTAAATAAAAATGATGAACTACATCTATACATCTTATCTTCTTTGCGTTTAAGAAATTTATTTTTATAACTATCACAATTATAAATTAATTTTAACTTTCATATCTTTGAAGTTGTTAAAAATAACAGCAACAAAAGCTAATATATAATGGAAGGGTTCTTGTAATAAAATAGTCATATTAATGAGCTTTGTCTATACATAGCTGAAAAACAGAATATAGTTTATAAAATAATCACGCTTGATTTATAAAAACAAAATATTACATTTAATCGTATAACCTAGTAAAATAAAACCAACAATAGTTATAGCAATTAAAATATTTTATTAAATATCAAGAAATCATCAAAAATGTTTGTAAATATAATTAATTTTTTAAAAAAACTTCTAAATAGGACATTTTTATTCAGACGGCATAGCCAGATTTTTCAATAAAAAATAAGCATCTTCTAAGTACTTTTCAAGCACTCAAAAAATATTTTAATCACTTTCCAAAAAGAAAATCATCAGTAATAAAAAAAAATTTCTATTGTTTAAAGTTTTTAATTTATAAACATAAAATCAACAAAAACATTTTCAAAAACTTTACATAAACGTGATAAAAGAACTACTTTCAGATAAATATTGCAGAGAAAATTGTGAAAATCATGCTTTTGTTTGTAATTGATGATGACAATTGACACGCCAAAGAAAATTTTTTTTTTAAAAAAAAGACAGAAAATTAAGCACATTTTACAAAACCCGAATAAGAAAAGTACCTTTAAGGGCTTTTAAAATATGTAAATCAAAAATAATACCTTTAAGCATTTTTTAAAAACGCTACACTCCCTGTCATTGCATAATTTTAAAGAAATTATTGAAATTAAATAATTGTAACAAGAAAAAGCAAACTCACCTGTAAAGACAAAACTGCACGTTTACTTAGAATGGGATCTTCATCAAATTCATACATGTGCTCAAAGCGCATTAAAACTGTCCCAGCTTTCCATGGTTCCAAAGTTAACAGATGTACATTTGGTGGCAACTGTGTCTTCAAACCTGACGACTAAATAAAAATAATGAAATTTACAATATCATAATTAGGATCTGTTCAAAAATAATGAAAATTTACAAAATCATAATTAGGATCTGTGCAAAAATAATGAAAATTTACAATATCATAATTAGGATCCGTGCATTTATAAAAAATAAAAAAATTTCTATTGTTTAAAGTTCTTAATATATAAACATAAAATCAATAAAGTTTAAAAACATTTTCAGAAACTTTAAAGAATCATGATAAAATAACTAGTTTCTGATAAATATTGCAGAGAAAATTTTGAAAATCAGGCATTTTTTGTAATTTAGATCGACAATCGACACGGCAAAGAAAAAATCTCTTTTTAAAAGATAAAAAATTAAGCACTTTTTACAAACCTCGAATAGAAAAAAGCACCTTTATGGGCTTCTAAAAAACGTAAATCAAAAATAAGCACTTTTAAGCACTATTTAAAAACATTACTCATACTGAACTAAATCATTTCATATATCACATTCTCTTAAGTTTCAAGTTTTCTATTTTATCCAATTTATTATTCAAATTTTATTGTAGTTTTCATCAATTTTTCCATAGTATTTTAATAATTTTTTTTTAAAAATGTAATCCAACTTTTTTTTTTCTTGTCTTTTAATTCCTTTTTTTTAAAAATTAATCCAAAAATTTAAGAATATGATTGCAAAAAAATTATTTTAAATTAAATCACAAGAAAAAGCTGTGAAATATACTTACAAACATTTTAAAAGATTTCATGTATGAAGCATCAGACATGTTATATTCAGCAAAACTCAGTTGAGGTTGCATAAAGAATGATTGTGCCAAGGGTCTGTGTTTAGAAGCAGATGCACTGATGTTGCTGAAGATCAAATAGTGAGAGCCTCTAATGACCAAACCTTTACCATCAACACCAGGTTCATTAAGAGCCTCACCAACTCCAAAAGCATCATCATGTAATAGGCGACGATGAATCTAGACATAAAAAAAAATCAAATCAATTTAAATATAAAGAATTGCTGATCTACCAGCTGATCCAATTTATTCCACCTGACAGCCTGGTCGTAGGGCAGTGTCTTGTGTTAGTGAGAACAGGAGCTTGAATCCAGCCGGTGGAAGAATTCCAGTGCATTAAATTGTGACTGGTGCACGTTATGCATGTCGGGTTTACAAAGTCCTCCAAGGTCCCATAATAAACCAATACCTCTATGGAAGCCGCAATGGCTCATGAGATAGAGCATTCGTTTTCCAATGAGGTGAGCTGGGTTCGAATCCCAGGGATGGCTGATCGATGTGAATTCCGACCCTGGCTTGCACCGACCGGAGTGCTGATGTGAAATATCCTCAGTGGTAGACGGATCATGGGTTAAAGTCCCTTTGCCGTCAGGCTAACTGCGGGTGGTTCTCGTGGTCTTCCTCTCCATGTAACGCAAATGCAGGCTAATTCCATCAAAAAGTCCTTCACGAAGGCAAATTTTTTCCAATACTTGATTCAGGAGTTCCCTTGTTTTCTGGATTGGGTTTAAAATTACAGGACTATGGAGTTGAACATTAGTAATCATAAACCCGAAAATTGGGTCGGTTGTTTAATGACGGTTATAATATAAAATAAAATACCTCTGGGGGTACGGAACCAGGAGTTCCCTAGTCTTCTGGATTTGGTTCAAAATTAAGAGGCTGCAGAGTTGCACATTAATAGTCGTAAACCCAAAAAATTGGGTCAGCTGTTCAACAACGGTTATAAGATAAAATGTAAAGCTGAAACGCAGTCAAATTTATTTATTAAGAGCCCTGATTAAATGAGATCTAGGATTCAATTCAATGAGATCCAGAATTGCAAAAAAAATATTTCACAAATTTTTGATTGCACATTAAAAAACCTATATATAAATCTACTATTATGAGCATAACGAGAATTTTTCATAAAATTCTGGAAAATTATTTCATGAAAGTTGTCAGATAAATAAAAATTGTTCGCTAAAATTCTATTCATTTTGAAATTGTTACTAAGCTTACCAGAGATAGGCTTTAAAAACTAGGATTACCAAAATCCAGAAAAAATTGGAAGTAAAGCTTCTAAAATGGTATTGAAAACTCACCCTTATAATTCAAATCTGTCAGAAAAAATCAAATAAAGATTTTCTAATAGAATTCGAAATACGCTCAATGGAATTTTTTTCAATATCTTTACAGAAAAATTATTACCTCGTTTTTAATTTTCTTCTGATATAACTAACAGGTTAACTAGTAAGCACGTAAACGTTAAAAATCACTTTTAGCTCAAATTGTAAAAAAAAAAAATCCAATTATATTAGTAATGAAGAGCTAAAGTGTGAACTTACTCATCTGTCTGGAGGCAACAAATGGCAATATAATAAACATCCTGATTTAAGAAATAAATTGCCTAGCTCTCTATGCTATCATTAGAAATGAGAATTTTACTAATAAAATACAAACAAATGCAGTAAAATGTATTGCCATTTAAAATCTTTGAATAGAAATTGGTATTAAATCTAAGAAATCAAAACATAAATAATTGAACAGCAATATATTGTTATTGAATTATTGCCATTCATAATTATTTATAAATTAATAAAAATAATTTTAAGTATAATTCATAATTAAAATAACAATAATAACTTAAGTCATAATAATCATAACAATGGTACTTATAATCACTATCACTATTTATAATGTTTGCATTTATATATATTTATATATATATATATATATATTACTATTTCTTGCATTCAGGACCAGTCATTCTTCCCCACATTAAGGAAGGTATGACCAAAAAGACTCAAAAACTTAACTGGAATAAAAGTCAATTACCTTTCCGTTCTGTTATATTTTCAATCTGTCAATGTCCAATAGAAAACATATAATCAAACATTTAATTTTCAAAAGATTATCCATGATTTTTGAATTTTAAATTTATTACAACAAGCACAATTGCAAAGATGGTTTTAAAGTAAATTTCATAACTTTTATATTCTTTATTGAGCCGACCAGGTGGCCGAGTGGTTAGCATGCCTGACTGCAGAGCCGATGGTTGCAGGTTCGAATCCCGCTCAGGGCATGGATGTTTCTGTTGCAGTTGTTGCTTATGCCCACTTGACCAACAGAAGCATTAAATCAAGTCCATGAACTCTTCCAAAAAGCTCCCAAAGTCATGTACTATTGCCGCAGGGTTGGAGACCAGGTGGCTCTTCTGGCAGCCAATACACGATAGGATGTGGGCAGGAGCAGACTTGCTCACATTGCACTTAGGGCAGGGTGGATAGACTTTAAGGCCCGCGATGTGAGGTTGGGATCGAGTGTGTACGCTTCTAAGTCTAGCAAGCGCCGTTTGGATGTTTCTTTCCTGTTCTATGTTCTTTCCTCCGTTTGATTGTGTGAATGTAACCCTCCCTATAAATGGGTTTGTGGTTGTATGACGTGGGCTATGCTACTCCACCGCCGTGGCTTAGCCATAGGTGCTCTGGGTAACGATAAGATAGTAGCAATTCTGGCATTTCTGAGGCCAATGGGAAACAGACACAGGTGCCCGCCATTAACCAAAAGAAGAAAAAAAATATTCTATATTGCACCAAAATGCAGGATGATTATTTTAAATTAATAGTAAATTTTAAATACGAATTTAAAAAGAATACATCAATAAAAATGCTTGATTTAAAAAATTTGAAGCATTATCATTAAAAGATTAACATTAAAAAAATATACACAAACCATTAGTTCTACAGAACCATTCATTAAGCTGGATCCACCTTGAGACCTGTCATTCAATACAGTCAGTTGCTTATTCGCTTTTTTATCCTGAAGATAAAATGCATATGTTATAATGTGTTAAGGTCATATATTTAAAGTCAAATATATAAAAGTGAGTATAACAATTTCCATACTTTTTTTAATACAAATTCAGCTTTATTATGATTGTGATGAAATTTTGCACAAATTATAGCTGGCAGGAAGCACGAAGAAAAACACTTATGACAAACTTTGCACAAGAAATATGTGAGAAAAAATCATTTTTTCATAAGATCAGCATTTCAACTGCAGAAATAATACAGCAGCCTCATACAGTTAATAACCTACATACAGTATAGCTTACAAATCTTTTAAAGTCAAAGTCTTTCATGATTCATATTTTAATATGAATTATTTAAATTTATAATATTTTAATAAGCATTTATAGGAATTTAGTAGAATTTTTTAGAATTTATAATAATTTATTTAGTAAAACTATTATGCGCATTAATTATACTTACTGCAAATGATAATAAAGCAAACACAAAGTTGATTACCAGAAATATCAATATTAACAGTAATAATACTTACAACTATAAAAACTATTAAAAGAATGCTAAAGAATGCAAAATTACAATAAAATACAACGGCTCATTCACTTTTTGAGCTTTTGAGCATGAAATTATTTTTTAAAATAACAAATATAACAAAAGTAGAAACCATGTATTTTCAAAACTTCAGCTTTTAACCTAAACACAGGAAACTATGCTAGGCTGCTTTTGGCTAAAAAAAAAAAAAAAGTAATTGGAGCTGAAATTGATACTTAAGATTTAAGAAGGTTAAAAAAAAACTCCTAATAAGGTGAGACATTGCAAATGCTTCAAAAGCTGTATAACAAACTAGTAACTGTAACTTCACTTACAATGTGCTGTAACTTCACTTACTATAGGAATGTGCTGGATAAACAACAAGCACATTTTAAAAATGTATATATTTTCTGCGAAAATTAAAAATTAATGACGTAAAACATTTTGCAACTATAGTAATTCCTTAAATAACTTAAATGGAAAATAAATTAATTTTATTTTACCATTATTTATGCAAATTATTTTCCAAATAGCCCTATAAAAATACTTAAACTCATAAAAAATGATGAGCACGTTTTTTTAACACAATTTAATTAATTAATTATTTTTTTTATTATTTTAGAAGATAATTGCGGGAAAAAAACCCATCTATCAACAAATTTATGGTAAGTCAAAAATCCTAGGAGAGTAGTGCTGCACTATGAAGACATTTTTAAAAGTAGTCAAGATATGAGATTATTTTTTTAAATATTCAATTATTCTTGGCTTATGTTTAAAAAAATCAAATGAAACTGTAAAATCTAGAAAACAAAAGTATTCATTATAATCCTAAAAAAAAAAAAAAAAAAAAAATTCTTACAGTACCAAAACCATAATAAAAAAAATTCCTCTAATATTCAAATCCTTACCCTGATGTAAATGCGGCTGTTAACAGGATAATAGTTTCCAGCAACAGGCTCAGAGACATTAAGTACCCATGTAGGACGGAAATTCCTCCTGAAATTTAAAAAAAGAAGAAATATTTAATAACAAAAGTGTAATTATAAAAAAAAAATTTACATTAATCTTTCGAAATATTGCATGGAAGTTAGTCTATAATAACAATAAACAATATAAAATACAATATAAAATATTAACAGAACGAAAGCAATATAAAATATTAGCCTAAATAAATAAACCAGAAAACAGATAACAGATTTTAATAGAAGTTTTTTTTTCATTATTATAAAGATAATACTTACTTCCGCTCAACCATTTCTCTCCCATTAGAGTCTGTATAAAAGAGATCACCACTCTGCAGATCAGTGTCAAATCTAGTAATTATCTCCTTCCCAACTGCATCTCTAAATTTAAAAAAAAACAAAAAAAAAACAAGAGTTAAGAGAATCGTAAGCCATAAAAATTCTGCATTTAGTTTTTGCAATAAATATAGTATTAATAACTATGATAAGTTGATTAAAGTTCTTAGTCAAGAAAGCCTAGGAGGCTAAGGCCTCTCCCAAGGAACTTTTAAGTCCAATTGACTTGTGTAATGTAATATAATATCACCACGAAAACAAATTAAAAGACAAGGATTTCTACACTCTAATTTATCATAAATCTCCCAATTCTAGTCTTTGATCTATTGGGTGGTCCCGTCACTCTTCTAGCTTCCATCATGTAAAAGAGAGACAATCACAATTGATTTGTACTTAAAAACCAAACCTAATTTCACTCTTAATTGATGCAAGAGAAAAGTTCCTTGAAACAAGCCCAAGGATTCAAAATTTCACAAATAATTGCATGATACCAATGGAGTTAGCACAGTATGCTGAACTTCTTACATTTCCCAGCATGCTCCTACCCATCAACCTGAAGCTGGATGATCTTCAAGTCACAATTGTAGGATTGATTTTTGGTCTTTCACAATAACAGCTCAGTGCTTTAAAAACTATGATACTAGTAAAACTTTCCCCTTTTTATTTTATTTTAATTATTTATTTATATTGCTATGCTTTTCTTAGGACACACACATTCAATGTAATTTAGTTTTCTTAAATAATCACGAAGAAGCCTGTCAAATGTATGAATATAATTATTTTTTGTAAAACTTATTTGTTCTTTATAATTACATGCACAAACTAATATATAAATTGGAAGAATTAGAAACATTCAGTATATAAGAGAAAATGCCATATACAAAAAGATAGACAAAATATGAACCCATGAATAATTACTTTCTATTTATTCTAAAACAAAATTAAAAAGAAAAAAATTTAAATGTCTTCTAAATTTTTGTAGAGCATATAAATTTTTCATATAAATACTAAAAAAATAATAATTTATCTATGATTAAAAAAAAAGTAACCACAAATACTAAGATAAAAAACTATTAATATAAAAACACTGTGTTTAACTAAAAGAAAATTAAACTAAATAAATTTTTTCACATATATTAATCAAATAAACTACTAAATGACTATAAAAAGTTAGGTATTAGCAAATTCAATTACTTACTGAACTGGTATTGCACCAACAAGCCATTTAAATTCAACATGTTCACTGTTTTTGTATAAGCGAATGATCTGGCTTAACCAAGGTGTAAATACCTGATGAATTTCTTGAACTACAGAACCCTATACAGAAAAATAAATTTATATAATTAAAGTTTATTAATAAAAATTTTTTAATCAAAACGCAATTATTTTGAGTCATTCAAGTAAATAAACAGTAAATTTACACTAAAATAAGGTTTAATGCATAAACAGTTACATAATTTATGAAACAATTGCATAGAAATGCGTATATCAACATTTAACTCCTTTTATAACAAAATATTTAATACATTTTGATGTGTCAAAATGTATTAAATATCATAGGAAATAAAACTTTATATTATTTAGATGATTTAAAAAGAGATATGATATCTTAAACTCTTTATTTAATGCAATTATTAATAATATTGTTTATTTAGTGCTATGGAACATAGTAAAATTATGAACAACAATTACATTATAAATTCTCATTTTAAAATTAATTTCAAAATTATAACAAAATGAAACAAAACAGTTTTCGTTGCTGATAAATACCACCAAAATAAACTTACAGGTATTATGCTAAAGGAATACGTGTCTGTTAACTGAACTAAAAAAGTAAAAAATTAATAAATATCATATAAATTGTTATAAGAAATATCCCAATAATTGTCGCGAATTTTTTTTTAAATTTCCAGTAACAAATATTAAATCATTTTTTAAAAACAATTTCGCTTTTGTTATTCATTTATACATGTGATATGTTAAATAAATACATATCACGTAATTGAACTAATGAAATAAAATGAACTCAAAATTTCTCCGTAATTATTTAAAAAAATAATAAATTTAATATTATAAAGCCTTTTTTTTACAGAATGTCATGGCAATCATTTCCAACCAAACTATTTGCAGAACACTAACTGGGACCATTATACTCAATCCATCTCCAGCCTCTAAATTGAAAGTTCCACCCGGTCCCTAAAGGCAGTTTAAAGTTTTATTTAAATTTTAAGTATCAACCTTTTTCCAACTGTTATAAAGCTTTGTTTATTTTGTGACTGTTCTATGAGCTCTATAATTTTATATGTGTTTAATAAATTAACAAAAAACTAGTAAGAATCTTAACTTTTGCACAAACAGTAACAGTATAACAAATGTTAACTTTTGCACAAACAGTTAAAGTATAACAAATCTTAACTTTTGCACAAACAGTTACAGTATAACAAAAAAGAGTGAGTTAACTAATATTAGTCTAGTCATTGAATAAAAACCTTATTTTGAAACTTTTCTTAAATTGGTTATAATATTAAAGAAATTTAGAGAAAACTTCATTAAAAAATAATGTTAGACTAGAAGAAATTAACTACACAAGATGTATTTATATTTATCTTTGATTGCTGAGAGTAAAAACAAAAAAAAGTAGTATGCAAGTAAAAAATGTAGCTATTGTAATTACGTATATTGCAAATTATTATGCAAAGCCTCCTCTTAGTGACCATTTTCTACAAATATTTATACAGCACAAAATATTAATTGAACCAAATTCTTTGTTTCTTATTTATCAAAACAAATTTTAAAAAAATAAAGTACAGTGCAGAACCTCTTATCCGGAAATCAGAAAACCGGAAAACCAGATAACCGGAATAAAATTCGGAACCGGAAATTAATTTTCTTCAATTAAAAAAATTTTTTCCTGCAAGATTTTGAGCCAATTTTGTTATTTAGAGCGTATGGCGTATCGAGTTGACGAAAGAACTGATTTAGAGGACGGATCAAAAGCCGTTTGTAGACGAATCTCACATAAGCACAAATAGCTTATATATGTTATTAATGTTAATAATAACATTAATAAGCCTGTATATAATTTTCATTTCATAATTTCTTTCCTTATTTAAACTTAAGTGTATTATTTATCATTTTTTATTATTTTTAAAACTATTTCAAAATAATTTTTTAGTTTCGTTTCATAAACATTAAAAAAACGGCATTTTGGATTCAGAAAACCGGAAAAATCAGTTATCCGGAATCACGATGGTCCCGATCGTTCTGGATAATCGGTTCTCTACTGTATAAGAAAAACATTCTTACATTAACAAGAGTGAGTGTGACATTATCACCAAGTGATATGGGAGAAGTGCCATTAGGTCTGAAGATATAAGCTCCGGATGCCCGATATTCAAATTGGCTGTTGTTGCCATTCATGCCACGATACCAATAAAATGATTGGTTGACTGTCAAATTAGAATTATCAGCCAGCTGGATTTTCTTCAGAAGACCAGATTTTCCATCAACAAAAACAGAAAGGTACTAAAAACAGAAAAATCCTTTCATAAGTGTGTTCATAAATAAAGAAAAAGTTAATTTTGTTGTATATTAACAAAAAACAGTATTTAAAAAAACAAAAAACTGTGTCATTAAAAAAGGAAATCAACATTTACGGGAAAATATTTTTGATTTCTTGTTCAATTTTTGTCTTTAGCTCAGTGTCAGATATCAAGCAAAATGCTCACCCAACACTTTTTAAATATATCCATTGAAAATAGTCTGCAAGTGACGAGTCTGGACTTTGGGGAGATTGCAGTCCACTGAAAATCAGGTTGTTCTCAAAAACACTCATTAAGGAAAGATATGGTTCACTCAGAATTATGGAATGTTTATTTCATTTTGTTGAAACCAACGGCATCTATCTGTGCACAGATAGAACCATGATGGCTCAGAAGATATTTTATAACCGTCGTTGAACAGCCAATCCAATTTTCGGGTTTACGACTACTAATGTTCAACTCCATAGCCTTGTAATTTTGAACCCAATACAGAAGACAAGGGAGCTCCAGGATCAAGTACTGGGAGAAATTTGGCTTTGTGGAGGACTTTTTGATGGAACTAACCCGCATTTGTGTTACATGGAGAGGAAGACCACGAGAACCTCCCATGGTTAGCCCGACGGCAAGGGGACTCTAACCCATGATCCGGTGGTAGCACCGATGATATTTCACATCAGCACTGAGGTCGGTGCAAGCCGGATGCGGAATTCATATCAACCAGCCATTGCCAGGATTAAATCCTGGTTCACCTCATTGGAAAGCGAAAGCTCTATACCCTGAGCCATTGTAGCTCACTCAGGAGATATAGAGATTAGGAGAGTCTTTGCCTCCCAGTGAAGTTACCCGGCTTCTAACCCCAGCAGTGTCTTTTTGATACAGATTCTGCTATCAGCTCACACTGACCACAGTGTTCACATAAAATATCCTTAGTGGTAAAGGGATCGTGGGTAAGAATCCCCTTGCTACCACACTAACCATGTTAGGTTATCATGGCTTCATGTAATGCAAATGCAGGTTAGTTTCATCAAAAAAATCCTCCATGAAGGCTAGTTTGTACCAATGTTTGATCCAAGAGTTTTTTTAACTTCTGGGTTCGATTCGAAATGACAAGGCAATGGAGTTAAACACCAATAGTTGTAAACTCAGAATAGGGGTGGCTTTTCAACGCCTATTATAAAATAAAATAAACATCTGAGCACAGAAATTAAACAACTACTCCTTCTGCATTGGAGCTATTTCTTTGTTTTTTGGAGGTTGCATTTTATTTCTAACAAACTGTATCAGGTGATTGCTGTATAATATAATAAACGTACACCACTTTTAATTCTAAGTCTTCAATTCTGAATAACGTTCCAATAAAAAATAATAATATTAAGAAGGAATAATAAATAATTGTTGGTAATTACTGCTAAATAAAAAATAAATAATTTGCAGGTAAATATCATTATAATTTTTATTAATTCCATGATGATGACAGCCAAAGACATCTGGATCTTTGTATGTACTATTCAATTTTTTTTGATCAACAAGAATGGATTAAATGGAAAGACAAAAACGTTCTTCTCATGAGAGAGAAATAAAAACTTTAACACACTTGACAGTCTTTTTTTTTTAAAAATTATATAGCATATAGAAATAATAAGTATATTTAGAATTGTGATTACATATTTTGCAAAATTGATAAATCTTAAGAATGATAGTACCTTATTTTTTATAATCCAATCACCATCTGCTTTATATCGGAGGGTAGATCTCTGTCGAACTGCCATAGACTTGGCTAAAAGGAGAAAAATAATCAGGAACAATCAGAAATTTATAAAAGCATTCAAAATTGTATTGTGAAATAATGAACATATGAAAATTAATGGTTGCCATCAAATTAAAAAAAAAAGTTAATTATTTAAACTTGAAAAAAAAGTATTACAAAAAAAAAAAAAAAACATTAAAATTATATAACTAGACTTTTCTGTTGCTCTCAAGAGTTTTGAGATAGATAATCTTCTCCTACTTCAATACATTTTAACAAAAATCCTTATTTAAGATTAAAAAAAGTTTCCGATATTGCATAAAATATCAAATAAATCTTTAACAAAATCTACATAGTTATATTCCTGATATACTTTTTAAAAAAATAAATAAAGAATATATATATTAGTTTTAATTTTAAAATTATATAAAGAAATATCTTACCAGTTGTTGCTCGCATAAGATATGTAGCATATCCAAGTGCTGGTAATTGAGCTTCAAAAACAATTTCTGCAACAGCGCTTGATTTTCGACCAGGCACTTTTTGAACAGATGGGGCAATAGGAATAAGCTTTAAAAAGAAAACATTAAAATATAAATTTTCTAATATCACTTATTAAAAATTTAATTAACAAAATTTTATACATTGAAACAGTTTTTGCAAACACTGACCAACAGTAATGTTGTAAGATTTAAGAGTCTACAGCCAAAGAGAATCCTATAGAATTTAAGGCAACTACTTCGTAATAATTATAGCAGCAAATGAATCTAGTTTTGAGTAAAACAGCAATTTTCTTTAGCTTCCATATTTGAGGATGGAAAAAAACCTTAACCAACGCTGGTAAATAGTAAAGTATTAAATATTAAACACAAATAGTGTTTAAAATTAAAAACCCTATAATCAAAGAGAATCCAATAGAGTTTAAGGCAACTATTTCTTAACAATAACTATATTGAAGAAGGAATCTAACCTGGGCTAGAAGAGCAATATTCTTTAGCTTCCTTTATTGAGGATGCAAAAAAACTTAATTAACACTGGTAAATATTTCATATAAATTGTAGTCTTTATAAAATGATAAGCCACGTTTTCAAACTGTTAAGAGGAATGTATATTAAGATCATTTTTGAACAAAAAAAAAAAAAACATGAATTTTCATATAAAGAATAAGATGCTTCTGTGTATTGTGCTGTTATCCAATTGCAATTCTAGAAACAGGTAAAATAACAATCTAGAAACAATACTAAGAAACAGTTAGGAGTCAAAATGTCAGCTTTAGCTATCTGGTTTGTCATAAAATGGCCTTAAGTCGTTCAATTTATTACATTGTGTAATAGCATGCGTAAAGCACAATCTTTACCAAAGACATAAGAAACTTTGATTTTTCCAGGGTAGGTTATAACATTAAAAACTATAACTATGTAAATCTTAAAATAAGTATTTAAATTTAAAAAAGCCATTTATTACATGTAATAATAGCAATATTTACCTGAGCTTCTACAGGTTTTCCATTATAATCAACAATTTTGTAAGCAGATCCTTTAACTGGTATGTGCACATACTTTGATACATTCCATGCAAGTGGATTATAAATCGTAATGGCTACCTAAAAATTTGTAACGTTTTTTAATAAATTACGTATACTACACAAAGTTAAGGAAACAAAACGAAAATCATCACAAAAATTTATTAAACAGGAACATAAAAAATTTCTTCAAATCATATCAAAAGAATTATTTTTAAATAGAAAATAATTTTTGGAAAAAATAATATTCAGTCATAAAATAAGAAATATAAATCTTAGTGATATTTAAAACTTTCTACTAGTTTCTATATAATAATAGTCTCTATATAATAATAGTCTCTATATAAACAATATTTGGGTTGTTAAGAAAGTGATTTTATTTTTTCCTTACGAAAATACAATACTATTTTCTTACAATGAATAAATATTTTATTGATTTATATATTGCCCATTCTGGTCCAATACTTTTTGCCTTCTTTCTGGCAGTAGTATGATTCATAACTCACAAAATTTTTGTTCTTTCCAGGCAAAAAACTGATCTAGGTAACTTTTGACCTCATTTCTTTTTTTTTTTCTAACCATCGTTGAACAGCTGACCCTATTTTAAGTTTACGACTACTAATGTTCAACTCCACAGCCTTGTAATTTTAAACCCTATTTAGAAGACAAGGGAAATCCTGGATCAAGTATTGGGAGAAATTTGCTTTCATGGAGGACTTTTCGATGGGACTAACCTGCATTTATATTACATAGAGAGGAGAACCTTAAAACCTCCCATGGCTAGCCTAGCGGCTAGGGGCTCTTATCCATGAATTTCTCATTTGAAGTAAGGGTGCTACCATTTAAAAAATTTTTAAAGACCCAAACAAATATTGTAAACAAACCATTTCTTGTTCCCAGTGATGACACACTTAAATAGTTAATAATTTTCTTAATATTTGCGAAACAAATTATAGACGTCTAATGCGACAACACAAATTTCTTTCTGTAAGAAAGCGAAGAACCCATATATTCAGCTTTGAGAATAAATCTAGGCATTACAAATGAGCATGGATGGTTAAGTTCGACAAATTTAATCTCTCAATGATCACACAAGTTGTTATTTGTCAGTTTGCATCAATTAATGCCTTCATTGTAGCTTCATCCACTTCAACTGTCACAATGAATTTTAATCGATATTTTGGAAACAAGTTTTTGCACTATCATATTGCGCCAATACATCTTCTCTATACACATCAGACAATTTTTTTCAGACAAAATTTTTACATTTTCAATAATAAAAAAGTAAAATATGCCAAAAATGCTGCTTTTCACTTTTTATATTTGAAAGGACAAAAACCAAAAACTTACTGCGCAAAATCATTCAAACTTTTTCACAAGTAAGCTTTCCTACATCTGCTTTCAAAATTTATAATGATTATAGGACTCAAGTGTGAAGTTGACTGTGAAAAAAATGTAAAATGAAGTCCTCTACAGGAAAAAGCGAAATTACTTTCCGAACAAAAATACAAATTTACCACTCTCAGACATTTAAATTTCATAACTTAGTACAATAATTTAAACTCGAAAATTTTGAGAAATATTTTACGCACAGCAGAAGAATTTTCAGTTATTTCACACTGGCTGATATTTAAGAGATTGCAGAATTGTTGCTTGAGTGCAGGTTCAGACTCGTTTTGAGGCATCACTTTTTCATAAGCTTCATTTATTACATCCTATAATGAAACAAAAATTAAAAACATATAAAAATAGAATTTTATCAAACAAAAAATTACATGACATACATCAGATAAATATTTCTGCTATTAAGGACTTTTGCTTGAATTTTGAAGAAAAAGTATAACAGGGGTGGTTGTTAGACAAAGTAAAAACACTGAAAATTTTAGTTATTGGCGCAAGTGCCAGCTGGCGATCGAAATGAGGTACAGGTGACGTACAGCAGCTACAATTGGTGTAGCTGCTCTATGCTACCTTTAGATGCTTTACCAGCTACATGGCAACACTTTGCATGCTTTCCTCATTAGCCAGTGGAGAGTCATAGGAAAAGGAAGTACGTTAGATTTTATTTTGATTTTCATATAGATTAAAAACTTTTATGTTAGGAAACTATATGGAACTGAAAATTACATTGGACATAGTTCTAAAAAAAACGTCATGGAAAATTGATAATTATGATAAATTATGAGTTGACTTTGCTAACTGAAAATTTTATGTGCAGACACTTGATATCAATATATACCTTATATGTTTAATGCTAAACAAAAATTTTTGAACTCAGATTTATACTTACCTACCAGTGAAGAATATCACACGTTTATAATAATTAATGTAAGAAAAACTTACTTCTTACAAGAATCGCGGTATAGGATTGTAAAATCACAAGAATATGAACTGCAATATTTGATTTTAAAAACGGGAAAATACAAATCGTAATATTGAATCTTTAATTTATGTGAATAGGTAATTCGATCCATTTTTAGATTCTGTAAATATGAACTGTAATGAGTAGTCTTTAAAACACAAATAAATACAAAAATCGATGTTTTATATAACGAGTTTTGATGACGAAATAACTAAATCAATATTTTTAAAGAAGAGTAAACACAAATTGCGATACTGAATTTTTAAATTGCATGAGTACAAACCTCAATGTGTAACTTTTAAATCAGGTAAATACGAAAATCAATGTTTAATATTAAAATTACATATTGATGAATTGCTATATTAGCAGATTCTGGAGTCAAAATTCAAAATCCGTCAAATGGTGTAAGAATCACGTGTATGTATGTAAACATCTCGATAATGAGATTTAGCAAAAGTTTCAAAAATCTAAACTTCAGTTGGCAGAACTCCATGAAAATTTTGTTGGAATATAAGTTTTCGATTCACAGAATTTCTTAAAACAAAGGTCTTGATGTACACGAAATTTCACAAAAAATCACTCGCCCTACTTCAATTCTTTAGATCCAGAAGGATTATACAAAAAACACAGAATTCAATCTATCAAGGCAAAAACAAAATAGCTCCTAAAAATTGAATTTGGAGAAATTTTAGATTCTTATCTATTTATCCAAATTCCATGATTCAATTTATAGTTCTAACTAAAAAAACCTGATTGGTGTACAATTTCGAAAATTTCAGAATAAATTAAGAAGGTAAAGAATGGCAATTATTTTTAAATAAACAAGCAATGTTTTCCCCTTATAGGTAGACAAAGTAACTAACCTCTTTAGATACACAAAATGTCATTTTAAAAAAGTATTATTTATATTAAAAAAGCATTATCCACATTATTTAATTTATATATTGAAAAAAACTATCTTATTAATACATTTTATATAGTTTGGAAACTATATGCAATGATGACTAATATTTATGAATAATATTTTTATATATAATAACAAGACACATTTTAACTCATAATAATAATAATAAAACATTTTAAATTACTTACATGACAACTTTCAATAGCACTGGCTAAAGTTTCTTCATAGTCATTGGTAACATGTTGTTTTGCTGTACCCCTAGAAAAGTTTAAAATTGATTATCTTGAAATATCAACAAAAAAAACAAAAACAATTCAAACGAACAATAGCTTTGAAAGAAACTGTACCAACAGAAATCATTATTTCACAAGACTAAGAAAACATACATTTATAAAACATACATAACATTAGAACAAAATATATATATATATAAATCATTAAGCAGTTTCTTAACACAGTGTTATTTGATAAAAATCAAGGACTAGATATATTTTTTAAAAAAAAGTTTAGACTTAAACATGCGCAAAGACATAAAAAAAAAAGAGGTGGGAAATAATAAAAGAAAAATCAGACACAAATTGAAACATTTATTACTAATTTACATTTTCAAGCTCCTACCAAATAAGTTTTATATTCACTCATATAATAAAGACTAATATTTAAGAGAAACAAAAGAAAACTGCTTACAAGTGTAAAGAAATGTTGGTCTAATCTAGGATTTATTTAAATTTTTTTTCCATCTTTAATATTCAGGGGTATTTGTAACACAAAGTGAAAACCATGAAAATGTTATGTGCAAAAACACAATATCAAGAAATAAATCTATATACCATACATGTTTCATATTTAACATAAATTTTTTAAACTACGATTTACAATTAAAGCTACTACCAATGAAGTATATCACACCTTTATAGTAACTATTTTAAAAAAAGAACTTAGCTGCTGGAATAACAATATTAAGTTTTAATATCACGTGAATTTGAATTGCGATATTGGATTTTAAAATCGTGTAAATATAAATCACGATACTGAATTTTAAAAATGCGAAAATACAAATCATGATAGGAAACTTTTAGATCGTGTGAATACGAATCGCGATATTAGATTTTAAAAACGCATCAAAACGAATCACAACATTAAATTTTAAGCTTGCGTGAATACAAATCGAGTAATTGGATTTTAAAAACATGCGAATACAAATCACGATATTAAATTTCAAAAACACGTAAAGAAAAATCGCGATATTGAATAAATCGATATTGATATTAGCAGATTAGCGAAATCCATCAAACGAAAGGAATCAAATAAGTGGATTTCCGACAATTGGTTGAAGAAGAATATGTATGCAAATGTAGCAACGGAATTTCGCTAAAGATAAAAAATTTAAATTTTGGATTGTGGGACTCCGTGAAAATTCAGTCAGAATATAAGTTCTTGATTTGCGGAAGTTCGCGAACCCGGAATTCCGGGGTACACTTGGAATACAGTCACCCCTGAATGTTTATAATTATTCTGATGAGAATGTTTATCCTTTACATAATGCTTTGAGAAAAATAAAATATAAAGGATAAACATTCCCATCAGAAATTATAAGAACATCTAACAATAGTAAATATTAAAGTGTAGCTTTAGGATGGTTAACAATTATTTATTTTAAAATTGCTTACGTTATAGCATCATGATGCTGCATGATTCCCATAGCTTCTCCTAAAAGATTATAAAGAAAAATATATCAGAGAAAATAAATTATTTCAAAATGAAAATAACACCTAATATTTTATAACATTAAAAATTTCATATAAATATTTTTAATGTGAATTGAGAAAATAAACTTCCATGAATAACACTAATTTGGAAAAAATAAACAATTCCCTAAACCATCTCTAAATGTCAAAAGCTGTTTTGATTGGAATTAAAAGTTATAAAAATATTTCTCTCAAAGTTTTTCTTATTTTATGGTTATTTCAGGTTTTATTTCTTTTCATTTAACTTTTCGTTTTAACCATTTTTTTTAATCATTTGAGTAACAATTCTTTATTTGAAAAGAAATAAATATTCCATTAATATTTTCAAAAATTCTACATATAATATAAAAAATAAGCAAATAAATTATTTATTTAATAAATTATTTACTCCTTTATTTTTTAATTAATTTCTATAAAATCATTTTAAAAATTTTAACTTAATTGGTTTTTAAAATTTTCCATATCTTGTAGGAGAAATGGGGAAGTAAAAATGTTGAGAGCTACTGAATTAATATAAACTTTGAAAACTAAATATTCTAATCTTCTAAAATATCAATAAAATGCTACAAATCTCTATAGGCAACTGATTTCCAAAATAGTCAGGTTCCATTTTAGTAACATAAGGTTTCTTTGAAAGCATAGAAGTACATTTTAATTTTTAACACTGATAACAATTATTCCATTAAAAAAAAATCTAAATCCCTTAATTTAAATTATTTCCCTCACAAGTTTTTCTCCTCTGCTTTGAACACTCTGAGTATTGATGCCTTAGACAAAATTGAACTAAAATTACTCAGCTAAACTGTTACCAAAAAATCATCTAACAATATAATTAATTGCTAACTTAATTTTTTAATAAAAACTATATTAAGGCTTTAATTAAACTATAAATTGCTAACCTGATTTCTTCTTCAATTTAAAAGAAATAATTTAAAAAAACATTAAGAGATAAAATTGAATAATCGCTAATTATACATTTTAGTATTTGATTTAGCTATTTCATCTTGAAATAGAAACAAAGCAAAGTTTGAAGTTTTATATTCAAAAATCAGCATTTTATGCGATTAAAAGCAGAATGTTATATTTGTCTAAAAATCTCTTTAACAGAAATCAAAGTTCTTAAAGTAATGAAAGTATTGAGAACCAACAAAATAAATGCAAGTCCTAAAACCAGTAGGGGAGAAAATTGTAATATTTATAATAAACTTATTATTCATCAAATAGAAATGTAACATTGAATAAATAAAAATGATAAACATTTTACATACTAAAAATCCCAAGAAAAATTTGATCAAGGGTAAATAAATAGTATATTATTACTCATAAAATGTAAGGTAACTTCTTCAATATCTGTCCTGGCTGCCAACTGCTTACAAACCTAGAGGATAAAGGAAACTGACAATTAAATATATTAAATTGAAATCATTATTAAATGGTGATTTGGTTGATGCAAAATAGTTGCATTTAAATTAGCACAGAAATTATATATCTCATATATTATTCATTATATTTCCTTTCTAATATTTCATTTATTTCTTTTGAAAAGGGTAAGCCTAAAGCAGCAATTTTATAACCTATTTAACTTTTGCATATCTGTTTAATATATTCATAACAGCTGATATATTTGATTTACTTAAAAATTATAATCATATAACTCAATAACATTCCATTAGTCTAAATATATTTCCTATTCGGAGCTCATAAATTAGCTAAAATATATAATAAATGAAGCTGCACGTGATGTATACCACAGAAATTTTTATCGGTTTTTCATAGAGAAAAACACCATGCAACACAGTGTGCTCAGTTTGCAACAAAACTATTCTACAGACAGAAAGAGATGTATCATGAGTTTTACCATTTTAATTCAACTAAATGGCACATGCTATATATATATTGAACGTCTTTATTAAACAAATATATTTTTTTTCGGCTATTGAGTTTAATTACTATACAGATATTACAAAAATGCTTTTAAAAACTAAGAGAATTTAAGAATAAAATATTATACATTTCATAAAGTCGAGTATTACAACAAAATATCATGCACTTGTGTCACTCAATTCAAAAAATTTTGATTCATGTTTTCAAATTTCATGATCGTATAACCTAAACTATGAACAAAACTAGCATCTAATATATATTAAAAATCTTATGTAATAATAATATAATTATCTATGTCTTGTCATGTGATTCTTGATAATCAGACAGCTAAGAATTATAATTTTATAATTAAAATTGCAACTATTGAAGTTATTAAGAAAGATTGATAAAGTTAATAAAATAGAGCACACCTGAAGTTTGTTATTTCCGATTCTTTCATAACGTTTCAAAGCAGGTCTGCTTGTAAAATAACCAGTCCAATAAGCATGAGGATCACTTGCATAAGGTAAAAAGTCATCAGTCTTAACTGTCCAAGAATGATTAGCTTTATTCAAAGCATTCAAATAACAGGAAGGCGTAGAATAAAATACATTCACACGGCTACCATTGGATTGCTAAGGAATAAAAATGTTATTAAAAAATAATGGAATATATTATTAAGTAATAAACAAACATTAAAATTACTCTGAATTAAAAGTAAAAAAAATATTAAGGATTTTTTAAATCTAGTTTTATTGTAAAAATCTAAAACCTGTAGTAAATTGGAAGTAAATATTACTTAATAAGTAACCGAAAAAATGTCCAAATTAAGAGAAGTGGAAATATTAAGTTTTACTTTGTTTATCACCTCATTTATTTAAAAAAACATAAAACTTGTGGTAAATATTCAGTGAAAATAAAACATTAAGGATAACACACAAAGATAAAAATTACTCTGAGTTGAAAATCTGAATCAGAAAGATTTAAACGTTGTCATCCTTTGTCAATCTGAGAAGTTTTACACGAAAAAATATTATTTTAATATTTAAAAGGTAAAAATTCATTTACAAAAACATTCACTTCGATGTATAACAATTTGATGCACAATACTAAATCTTATCCATAAATAATAAGAATAAAGAAATTAATGTCACAAATGAAAAATTTGAGTTTCTATGAACAAATATTATTTAAAAGAAATCTCTTAAATACTAAAATATATTTTTTTAAATATTTAAATACGAAAAAACAAATACATTTTAATACAGAATACACAAATCCATATTTCAACGATACATACTTACTTTTTCATTGACATATTTTATTAATTTATCCAAGTTTTTAAACCAAACAGCTGCATTTTGATATTGAAAATCTTCTCCCATAGTCATCACAATATGATTTGTAGCATAAGATTTAGCCTATTGAAATATGTGAAGAAAAATACACAAATTATAACATTTAAAAAATTACACATACCTTCTCATTAACATGCAATATAAGTTTGTCCAAATTTTTAAACCAAACAGCAGCGTTCTGATAATTGAAATCATTCCCCATAGTCATGACTATATGATTAGTGGCATAGTATTTAGCCTGCAAGAAAAGTTAGCTATGAAGTTGAGATTAATTGGAAGAAGTAAATGACAGCCATGCACATGAGTAGTATGGAAACTATATGATATATTATTTATAGGTTTACAAGTTAAGTTAACTATCAACTTAAAATTGAGTGTAAGAACAAGAAATAGTCATGCTAGATTGAAATATAAAAAAATTTCCAAAATGTAAATAAAATATTAGTTTACAGAAAAATTATATATTTTTCAGAAAGCAAAAATGAAATTGAAATTTGTACTTTCATTATCATATATAAAAGCATTTATATCCATTGCAAATGTAAGAAAAGCAAAAGAAATAGCGCATATTTAAAAAAGAACAAACCTGATTTTCAGCAATGTTTATAAATTCAGCTACTCTTTGATCAGCGTTAAAATTCTTCAATGTTGGATCATCCTAGAATAAAAGGAGGGGAAAATGTTTATAAAAATAAACATAAAATATAAAAGTAGTCAACAGAAAATTAATTGCTCATTTTTAATCTAAAAATTTGTTTCTGAATTGCATATTATTATTTTGTGACATCTCAAAAATAAAATATAAATTAACATTAAGCATAAAATAACATATATAATTATATATAACTAACATACATTAACATATATATAAAATTAACATTAATATGTTAACATAGATACAATTAACATATATAACTCCATATTTTCCAATCAAATAGTTTAATCCAATCTAATTGTTTTCTTTTCTAATCCAATTTGCTTAAAGCAATTCTTAAGATCAATAAGAGGTCAATATACAGGGGTGAGATCAGAATGTGACAGAACAATTAAATGTGTAAGAAAGCATTGTAAGGAACAATTAAATGTGTTTAAAAACATCAATTATCTGTAAAATATTGAATTCAATCATTTGCTTTTTTAAAAAAAATCAAAATTACATAAAAGAAATACCATTATTGGTGGGTCATCGCAAAGTATATCAAAACAAAAGCCATTTGGAGGGCTGTATGAATTTGGTAATGCTCCAGTAAATAAATCAGCTCTCACACCTACAATAAAAAAAACATATTACCTAAAAGTTATAAAAGGTAAGTAATTATTACATTCAATTTAAACAATTGCAATTTTATATAAAAAAAAAAAATTTAAACTACAACAAAAATTATTACTTTTAAGCAAAATTTCTTTTAAAAAAAACTTTTTCTATTTGTGCAGACGAAAGATAGTTTTATCTTGTGTATCATGGAAATAGAACAAAAATGAATTTTATGTATTTTAAAATGTACATTATGAAATGAAATCCTTTTACATTTTAATTAAACAATTTTGATCCATCTGTCTTAAGAGAGTTCAATTTAATAACTGATCTCCTATATCATATTTAAAAGTGTTAGATCACAAAGGAAAGTAATCTTTTCTCCCTTTTTCTAAAAATGGAGAAAAAAAAATAAACATAACATCATTATGTTTCATAGGAAAAGGTCTATGCTAAATATATTTTATTTGCTTATGTTGCTAAACATCAAGTTTATTTAGTACTTATTAGTTATCCTTTATTATATTTCATTCACTGCGATTAAATTTACACTATGAAGTATAAATGCCTAGTTAATTTTTGGTTCAAATCATCATTTATCAGAATATCTACACAATTCATAAAGTTTTGATACAATTTATAAATCAAGATTTTAATAAAATATAGTTCAAAACTAATAATTAGATTAAGAAAAAGAAATAATAATATAGTAAGAGATCAATGGATTTTAACTAAATTAATAATTAGTAAGATAAATCAGCAACATAAAAATAATGCATAAAATAATTACACTTTATATCAAATTTCTTTCAGAGTTCAAAAAAGCAATTCAAACCTAAATTTATGCTAGGTTTCCAAATATGTTCCATTGTTTTAGTTTGCAACCTTTTATCTTTATCTTGATAGTCTAAACGACCGAAAAACAAACCATCAAAGTACATCTATAATTAAAATAAAATTAATAATTTTTATAATTATGTGCAATGATGTTAAGACATATGACAAAAAGTCAATGAAATGAAAATATATGGCCTTAGAACAAAAAACAACAAATCATCAGGTAGCAAATGAAAAAAAAATAAATAAATATATATATATATATATACAGTANATGACTTGAGAGGTATATATATATATATACCAGTAGTCATTAGATTAAAACATATTTAAAAGTTGAAAATTTTAGTAACTCTTTGCATGTTTTCACCTATTTTAATTAACATTGTACTAAAATTGTTAATGAACATGAAAAAGTATTTGGCATAACTTTTTGTGTATATACATTCATAAATTGTTTGCTTGTGTGAAACTGAAATACAATTTACTTTTAAAAAACAGAAATGTCAATAGAAAAGAAATTGAAATTAATTGAATGGTATGGGACAATTTTTAGCACAATAATCTTTTTACAGTCTAATCATTTTTATGGCAAGTACATACATAAATACAATTTTATAATATGTTTGATTTTAAAATTTATAAATTTTTCAATACTTATTTTTTTTTAAATTTTAAACACAATTGTTGAATTAAGTTTTAACAGCTATATTCATTCCAGGGAAAATATGACATTTTATATCATTGGTAGTTACAGATTTTGAGAGATAATAAAACTAATAGCCTTTTTATTGCATATTCTATAAGTCAAGTTACAAAAAATAGCTGCAGTATGCAAAAACTTTCCTGCAGAAAAGTTATTTTTGAAATTCTGAATTATTTTCTTCATTTAGATCCAAATTAAGCATAAAACAAACAAACTTACATCAAGTTAGGTAGATTAAGAACCATTTTGCATTTGGACAATTTTATATAGAAATTTCTCCTGAATATATTACTTTCTCATTAATAACAGGAGATAGAACTGGTGTTTAGCAAAAAGAAAAAAACAGGAGAAAGGACGTTTTCAGATGTTGCAAATGCTCAAATGTTACATATGCTCAGTAAAACTTGGTAGTGCTCAGTAAAACTTGGTACAGATGTTACAAATGCTCAGTAAATATTGGTACAGATGTTACAAATGCTCAGTAAAAATTTATACAGATGTTACAAATGCTCAGTAAAACTTGGTACAGATGTTACAAATGCTCAGTAAAACTTGGTAGTGACATAAGAGAAGAATACTAGGAAGAGTTGAGTTACTCATTAAGTGTTGAATATTATACATAGAAATAGTACATGGTTACACAATTTCAAACTGGTCCGAATGTAAATTGTACATTCAATTTTCTTTTAAAAAATGATTTAACACATGTTCTTAGATTCCTTCTGATAGTAAAATAATTACAAAGTATAACTTGTCATAAACTTTTACCTGAGCAAATAATGATGCCTGTTCCTTGGAATGACCAAATGGATCAATCTGCCATGCTACTTTTGGAACACCACATTTTCCAAATGTATCATTTAAAATTCTAAGTCCGTACGTCATCTGATCAACAATTGAGTTGTAATGTGCAGCCGCTTCATCATTCATACTCCATCCACCCCCAATAAATTCTAATTGTCCTGAAATTTTAGTACATACTCAATTAGAGCAAAAAGTACTGATTAGATAGTTACATTAAAGTTATTGATGCAAGAGACAAATTAAATAATACTGGAATAACATTGTATTGCAAATTTGTTAGTATATATTGTTACACAAATTTTCAACCTAATAGTTATTTTTTTCTTTTTTAATGGAAAACAAAAGAATTTCATTATAAAAATTAAAGAAAAAAAATAAAAAACATTATAGTTGAGATATTGAAAATTATTCAAAAATTTATAAATATATTTATAAATTCAAAAAAGAGCAGACATTTTCAACAAATTAATGTTATATATATGGTAATCATGGGTATGGAACAATATGGTATGGTACAATGTCAGAATCAAATTCGTTATCGAGAATTTGATTTGAACTTTTAAAGAATTTTAAATGTAGAAATTATGGTTAATTGTAGCAAAATTATGAATAACTGAATATATTTATAACTTTTCAATAGTAAATAAATTTTTAAAACAAAAATATTAAAATAATCTATGAAATTTAAAGCATAAATCCTTGAAATTTAACTTAAAAATCACAACTTTGGAATAAATGTATTTTTAATATTAAGAAAATTTTTAAATGACCACATTTTAAAGGTGACATACAAGAGCGACAAATGTAGTGCACTTAAAATCAAAGCAAACACTGGAATCAAAAATGTATGTTCGAGTTTACAACTTTGTAAATATACATATATATTTTAAAGCAGTAAAAAATATAACAAAACAGACAAGTTTTTAAATGGTCTATTGCATTGCATACTATGTTACTAGTTGTGATTATCCATTAAAAAATGTTTATAATAGTAAATTTTTATATCAAATAGGGACACATTTTTAAATTCTGGGATGAAGAAAAAAACTTTAATATTATGTATTTTCTTAAAAAAGATCAATTTTAAATTTACAGTATATTAATTATAACAAATTATATAATGAAAAAAAAAGTCTTACCATTGCATACCAATTTCTTTATGGAATGGCGTACAGAATCGTGCTGCTCCCTCCACCAACGAGCAAAGAAAGCAGTCTCAACATAAATGAACTTTTTTGCTGGATCATGTAATAAAGACTGAACCACTGAATCAAGTATGTACTGAACACCAGCACGCTGAATGGATTGATTAGCTAAAATAATAAACATTATAAAGAGTATAAATGAGACCTTAAAAAATTAGAAACACTTTATTTTAGAAAAGTACATAAAAATTTATAGTAAAATGACTAAGGGCTAAATAGCATGTCATATTATTTAAATAAAGTTTTGGCTTACTTTTAAATTGCGATCATATTTTAATAAAATTACTATTTGCTATCTATAAGTCACCACAATTAACTTACAAAGTCATAAAAAAATGAAATAAGTTGTTGCCAAACTTATCATTCGACAAATAAATGAGGTGCATAATTGTGAAAAAAAAGTACATAACTAGCAATGTATTGATCATTTAAATAAATATATTAATCGACTAATTTTTTAAAAAAAGAGAAGATAAGTTTTGTGGGGAAAAAATTATTGATCATTGCTTGAAAATCTGTTGCAACAGATTTGCTGATACTGAGATCTGTTATAACAAACTGTTTACATTACGAACTAACACAAGCTGGGTTTGCTTGGGAAGCGAAAATCTGCGAAAATCTTTCCAAGCCATGACTTGAGAGGATTTTTGATGCCATGAGTTGAATCAACATCAAGTCACGGCAACTTCCTGGCAACAGCCTGCAAGAAACTAAAAAGAAACATCACAGAAGAGGACTAACTTGAAAGGTATGACTTTGTAGCCTACTTCATGCAAAACTCTAAGTTTTCTTTTCTTCCGTTTTTTTTTTTTTTTTGTGCAAGAGTAAAATTTATTTGGCGCCTTGGCAATTGTAGGTGACACAACAGATCACGATACAGAAATGTCCTTATTCTTTTTTCTCTAATTTATAAGAGGGAGAAACGGGGACAAAAAAATATCCAGAAACCAGTCGAAAAGAATTTAATGTTGTGATTAACTGAAAGCAGCTGTTACAAAAAGTAGATCAACTTTCTTAAATATAAAGTTAATTAATAAACAATAGAAATTATCTACTTTACCTCCATAAAAATATTGATCAACAGTTTTTAACCATCCAACATCATTATGTGTGTGGCATACTAAATGCACATTAAGCTTATCATCTTCCCCTTGAGGGCAGTTCTATAAAGAAAAAAATGACAAGATTATCAAAAGCCACAAATAAACAATTTAGCATTTTACATATTGGTATCGCAAAAAATGACAAGATTATCAAAAGCCACAAACAAACAATTTAGCAATTTACATATTGGTATCCTAAAAAATGACAAGATTATCAAAAGCCACAAACAAACAATTTAGCATTTTACATATTGGTATCACAAAAAATGACAAGATTATCAAAAGCCACAGATAAACAATTCTGCATTTTACATATTGGTATCACACATAAGTAAATTCTACATTGTTAGAACAGTAGGTTTACCAATGGACTAAATGCCCCGTTGTTATTTACGTAGAATAAAAGTTCCTCAGCAACAGAATAGCTTGATAAAACAAATTTCCATTTCTAAACATACAAAAACCATAATTTGAACATACCTGATAGTCGTATTTAAGGTTTTCTTTAACAGGAATACCTTTAGCAACACCAAAAGCAATTGTGACGGATAAAAAAACGAGCCACTTCATAATTTATTTAAAATTGTTAGTTCATATACGCGCTTTGAAAAAACTTTTGATCAGAGCAACACTGATCAAGTAGGTTCGATCAAATCACTCTTATTTTTCTGTTTCAGATAACCAATCAGTTAAAAATCACTTATCGGGATTAACTTGACAACAGGATCAAAAGCCGACAGAAACAAAACAAAGTTCTGTTTGTTTATATCACGTGCTTTATTTTTAACGAACGTCTACAGGCAGGAGTTAAAAGTTGAAATTTAGCGCCAACAAACATCGCCAATGTTCGAATATATCGCAATGTGATCGATTCTAAATATAAGTTAAAAAAATAAAAATTTGCGTAAGTGCGAAAATTCTACAGCAATCGAAAGACAATTTGTAACGATAAACAAATTAAAAATAATAATAATAAAAAAAAATAAGGAAACCCGTGCACTATATAATTTGACTTAAATTTAAATCCTCAAGTATGCATTTCTGGTTTTTAAAAATAATTTATTATAAATTTTTATTAGCGTTCTTCAGTATTTTCAGTTGTTGTAACAGCTTTCGTTTTTATTCGCTTAACTAAATTATATTTTTAAAAAAATGATCGGATGAATGAATAAATGCAACAATCCAACTTGGTAAGGATCCAAACATTTAAACAAACATATTATTTATAGGTATTGATAAAATTATAATGAAATACATTCTAAATTGAAGATATTTTAAAACCAGATTTCGTTTCTTACAGCCCCTAATAAGAAGTATTACATAAGCGAAGATTATCACAACATAATCTACTTTAATTTTTGTCAACAAAATAATCATTTTGTTGAAATTTGTGAGAAATTCTTCACAAAACGTCAGCAATATTATTCGCAAATACAAATGTTTTATTTATTTTTCTTTGTGCAAGAAAGAAGCAGCTCATTATTTCATGAATTGTTTAGAAAATGCCTAATAATATTATATGCATTGTATAAATAACATGTATTTATTGTATTTTTTCATAACCGTCGTTGAACAGTTCATCGAATTTTTTGTGTTTACGACTTCTAATGTTCAACTCCGTAGCCTTGTAATTTTGAACCTGAGCCAGAAGGCAAGGGAAATCCTAGATCAAGTAGTGGGAGAAATTTGCCTTCGTGGAGAACTTTCTGATGGAACTAACCCGCACTTGCGTTACATGGAGAGGAAAATCATGAAAACCTCCCACGGTTTGCCTGACGGCAAGGGGACTCTAACCAATAATCCGTTTATCACTGAGGATATTTTACGTCAGCACTGTGATCTGTTCAAGCCGGATGCGGAATTCGTGTCGACCAGCCTTGACTGGGACTCGAACCCGGTTCACCTCATTGAAAGGCGATCGCTCTGTCCCGTGAGCCATCATGGTTCTTATTTATTGTATTATACATATCGTATATTTAAAAATATTTTGTATGTTTTATTTTAGAATTTTTCTTAATTTTCGTTAATTGACAGAAAAAATTATCGCTTAAAAATAGTTATAAAAATAGGCAGCATTGAATAAAAATTTCTTTCCTACTTTAGACAAGCGCAAATAAGACCACATATTTTATTTCTCCATGTTTTCTATTCATGTTTAGAGTTAATATGCTTAAATTGAATATTCTTCCACGAAGCTGTTAAGTTATAGATTCAAAAATATGTCATAAAATAATAATTTATGCATAAACATCGCATAATAAATCTCATGATTTATTTATTGAAACAATGTTTAAAGTTTAAACGACATTTGACGTTTTTAAATTCTTTGCGTATTTTTTCATGGCAACGTAGCTTTAATAAAACTATAATGTAACATTCTATAAAACAGAATATAGAAATTGCTAATTTTCTTATTTCAAAAAATATATTAAGCTTTACAAAAATCATTATTTTGAGAAATTTTGAGGAGTAAAGTCTTCGAAACATGAGATCTTAGGTATTTGAAACTACACATTTTAGAATATTTAATAATAATAGGTTAACAATTGAAATATAATTTTGAGAATAGAACTTGAAATATTTTTGGACCACAAAACATTTAAAGAGATTTTCTCTGCCATTAAAATAAAAACTTTTTTAAAAAGTTAGAAAGGAGTGAATCTAACAATTAATCAAAACACACATACAAAAGCACAGTAATTTAATTAGTTTGTTTAAAAGAAGCACTATCCGTTTATAGCTCTGAGATTTTTGTACATTTTTAGATTGCGTGTGAAATAAAAAAGAACATTTATAACACTTTAAGCGTATATTTTCAAATATTATTAAAACGATCATCTGTGAAATATAACTACATTTTTCCTGCTTTTACATTATGTTCTGCTTAATTTTCTAAAAGAAAAAAAGAACGTTTTATTTATTAGAATTATAAAACGGAAATAAGCTCATAAATTTCTCAAAAAATAATCATAATAATAAACTAGAACGTTATTATAGAAATGATATTTTGAATGTTATTGTTTTCTAGAACAATGCAAGATGGTCAGTGTTAACATCATTGAGGTCGTATGCTATAAAATGATAATTTCAAACTTACCTTGGCATAATTTTCGTCTGGATGAAATTGAAAATAATGAACATTTAATGATTTTTTTCAGTAATTATTTTGTCAATAGAAAAAAGAAAACATTACATAAAATCACGTGATTAATAGATTTTAAATGTATTTCTCGTAATTTTTTTTAATCACGAACCCTAATGTTTAAGTATACTTTTAACAACAACAAAAAAAATGTTATCTAAGGAGAATCGTTTAAGAATTCGTTTATTAGCCTATGTTCAAAGACTTCTATGATCAAAAAGAGAGTTAGATTAAGTCCAATATCTTTAATGTATGTTTTTAGAATCCTTCTGAGAAATAAGGTAGAATAAAGAGCACATTAGGATGTGGAAAGTAATATTTAAATGAGGAAAAATGAAAACATTACCAAAACCTAACAAATAACTACTATGGAAAGACGGGACTAAAATCATCTAACCTATTTCATTGCTGGAGGAAACGGTGAGAACAAGGATTTGAAAATCGGCTATTAGAAATGTCTCAAGTCTTTTTTTCAAACAGATTTTGATGTTTTTATGCTGTCTTCATCTTCAGTAGAAATTCAATAAATTTCATTAGAAATTTTGTTTGTTCCCTTTTTGATTAAATACTTTCGACTCCTAGTGTCAGACATGTTTGACTTCATTTTTGACAAGGTTTCTAAAAATGTGTAGGAAGGGCAGACATTACAGAACACCCTGTATGCATTTACAATTTAAGTCATTTTAAGGAGAAAAACTTACATTTTGTTTTAAAAGGGAGCATGAAAATGATTTTTTTTCCTCTAAATTTATAGGTTACAAATTTTTGTTTTTATATATTTCTACATATGTTTTGAACAATATTTAAAATCGTTAATAAAAAATTTGTTAGTAACTAGAGGCTTGTATATATGGTCGATTACAGTTAAAAATTAGCTCTGATTAAACATTTTCTGATGATAAGTTTAATATATTTTTCAATTTATTTATTTATTTTTGCCTTAAGATAAAAAATAAAAAAAATTAATATTATTAATTTAGTTCGTGCGGCGGATAAGATTTGTATATATATATGCTCCACAAATTCGCGAAATAAAATCAGTGTTATGATATTATTAATTAAAAAAAAAAATATGGGTGGATGGAATAATATGGAAATAAATCTGATTTTCTACTTGCGTGTCAATACAAATGCATTGTTTTCAAACTTCAGTTAATAATTTTAGAAAAATTATCTCAACTAGACATACTACGCTATCATAGTATGAAGTAACAAGTAATATTTCACAGCGGCGCAGATAACACTGATATCATGCTAGGTAATTATTTCACTCGGGTAACTGAGTAGTAACAGCACAACAAAGAGGATAAAATTCAAGAGGTCTCTCTGTCCATCTTTACCTATTTCTAATGTCTTAAATTATTCAATCTCTTACGGAAATAAAAATAATTCAAAAAATAAATTCTGTGAAATTACATGCGTGCATGAGTGGTGAGGTTTAACCATTTCAATTTCCTTTTCTAATGAAAATGACGTAGTTAAGTGACGCAAAAGCAGTAATGAGCTGCTTCGCTCCAAACAACTTTTACTTCTCAAGTTGATGAAACCAAATGGTGAAATAAACTAAGTTTTACGCAAAAGCAAAAGAGAAGGCAGGATCACAAAAATTATCAGCCTGCTTGCATGAAGACGGTTATACTCTTTCTAAAAGGAATAGGTATCTAAAGGTTAAGCGATTTCCCCATTCTCTACACTTTTCCCCACTCCGTTACCATGGTTTCGTTGGATCTTGCTCCTTTTTTTTTCTCCTTACGGTACGGCAGTACATTTTAATAAGAAGTTGGAAGCCGTGGTGGCTCATGGGATAGAGCGTTTGCCTTCCAACGAGTTCGAATTTCAGCGATGGCTGGTCGAAAAGAATTCCGCAACCGGCTCACACCGACCACAGTGCTTATGTAAAATATCCTCTGTGGTAAACGGATTATGTGTTAGAGTCTCCTTGCCGTCAGGCTTACCATAAGGGTTTCATGGTTTTTCCCCTCCATGTAACGTAAATGAGGGTTAGTTCCACCAAAAAGTCCTCTACGAAAGCAAATTTCTCCCAATACTTAATCGAGGAGTTCCCTTGACTTCTGGATTGGGTTCAAAATTACAAGGCTACGGAGTTGAACATTAGAAGTCGTAAAACCAAAAATTGGATCAGCAGTTCAACGACGGTTATTAAAAAAAAAAAAAAAANAAAAAAAAAAAAAAAAAAAAAAAAAAAAAAAAAAAAAAAAAAAAAGGAGAAGTTAGAATACACTTGTGAAGGAAAAAAGCATTATTTGACGAAATTATGTTAATGGAGAGGAGGAAAGAGTGGAGAGTTGGAAAATCACGTAATATCGAGACGCCTAAAGTATTAAGTTTATACGAAAGTGTTTTAATCTTTTAAGAGGACTCTTGACTACCGGTGAATATTTTCATTAAAATTTCTGTTTCACCTCCATTGGTATTTTAAAGCTAAACATTTAGAGAAAAATGAGTTTAGGTAAACCATAGGATAAACCATGAAGTTTCAAATGAGGACAAAATGCTCTCATTATTTCAAAATGCAAATAAATTATTGCAAGAAAGCTTCCTTGCTGCTTAATCCTGTGTTATCGTACCTTAATTTGTTCCAAGTTTGATATTTCGGAAAAAAAATTTAGCTTTTCAAACTTCATGGTTTACACTATAAGTTTACCTGTAATTACCTTTCCCACTCCTTAA